AGTTAATTTTTAGGTATGATATGATAGAGTGATTTTTTTTTTTTTTTTTTTTTTTTTTTTTTTTTTACCTATGGATGTTGAGCTTTCTCAACTTTTCTTAAAGACAGTTTCCTTTCTCCAGTGTATACTTGGGTCTGTTGTCATAAATTACTGTCCATATAAGTGGATTTTCCTCTGGGCTCTCAACCCTATTCCATTGGTCTGTGGATCTGTTTTTGTTCTAGTACCATATTGCTTTGACTAATATAGATTTGTAGTATAATCTGTAGTCTGGGAGTGGGATACCATTTTTCTTCCTCCTTTTTTGTCATGATTATTGTAACTATTTTGTGGTTCCATATGAATCTGAGTAATATTTTTTCTTTTTCTTTGAAGAATGCCATTGAAAGTTTGATAGGGATTGCGTTGAATCTATATATTTCTTTGGGTAAAATGGCCATTTTAAACAATGTTAATTCTATCAATCCATGAGCAGGAAATATATTTCTATGTCTTTGTGTCTTTTTCTTTTAACAGTGTCTTATAGTTTTCATGGTATAAGTCCTTTACCTCCTTTATTAAGTTTGCTCCTATGTATAATAGGAAGAAATTAGGAAAATTTTGCCCATTAGTAGAGGGCCTAAGTTATCATAGCATAGTTATCATGGAGTACTGAGGCCAAAGGTGATATGACTTCAAGAAATCATAGGCTTATCTTCCCTACTCTGTCTGGTTATTTAAACTGTAAAACCCCACAAAGCCTAACAAAATGAAGTGAATGTCAATGAAGAATAGCTATGTGATATTAACTTTTAAGAGATATAGAAACTTCTTCTTGCTAAATATAATATCAAATTATCCACTTCTGCTAAAATAAAAAAAAAGGAAAATAACAGCTTTGCAATTAGTAACTGGTGATTGGATAAGAAACCCTTGGGGAGCTACTTTACAATAGATCCCTGGGCTCCATCTATGGATGTGGATGATCACGATTAACACTTTCCTTTGAGAACCCCCTAAAGCCCTGAGAATCACTAGAGAGGCCTCATTCTGTACCTGAGGAATCAGTGTTTCTGCAGAATATGATTTACAGTTGTCATTTTTGTCCTTCCTGCCATATCTGTGGGGTTGCTGTAATAGATGAGAATGGTGAGATAGCTAAGTAAACTGAGAAGCAGGACAGGATGAGGAAACAAAAATTGATGCGGCTGTTACTCTTACAGGCAAAGGGAAGTGACTAGACAGAACTAGTTAGAAAGAAGGATTGCAAGAAAAAGGAAGATCATCAGTTTTATCACGTAAAACTCATTTCCATTTTCTTTTGTTATAGGACAGTATCCTGAATAAAAACCAGACTACTAAAAGGTGAGTAGAATTATTAAATGTGATTTTATATGAAGTATTTTTCAGATTTTCTTTGTCAGCCTCATTAATTTTTGTAGAGTATAATGCACCCTTGTTTGAATGGCGTTTTAGAAGTAGAAAGCACAGTTGAAGGTGAAATCTATAATTTCTTTGAATATACGTACACATTGCCCTGTAGACATAAAGGCCTGTGCAGATGTTGCCCAAATAAATGCATTCTTTTGGATGAGGCTGACAGGGGAAGTGGACTTGGAGAGATTTTTTTTTCAGGAGAAGTGCATTATTTTGTTGACCAGCACGAAGGATAGAAATAGTGCAATAACTAAGGTAAGGAAAGAAGGCCATGTGCTTTGTCAATCATGGTGAACTGGTTTCTTTCACTGAAGAGAAGGAAAGTGAGGAGGTTGATAGAGCTGGTAATGCCAGGGAGACAGCTGCCCCTCAGAGCCTCCTGTCTGTCTGAACGTAGGGGAGTTGGAGAGAAGAGTCCTGTCACGGGTATCTGGATGGAGAATCAAGGGGCCTGTGGATGGCACAATCCAGCCACCAGCCTTGGTGATAGTGGATGGTGAGGGAGGTTGAGGGGATTGGTGAGACTGACTGCAAAGAAAGAGTAGACATGTCCTGAGGGAGCAGAGCTCTGGTAATTGGTTAGAGGGACAAGGTCAAGGAGAAGCCGTGGAAGATGCTTTCTTGTGGAGGGACTGCAGGCGTGAATCATGGCGCTGGCGGTAAAGGAGGTTGAAGCCCATGAGTCAGAGAGGAAAGGCAGCAATAGCTCATTGTGTGTTGTTTCAGGTAGTACTGTAACTTTTTTTTTATTATAATTTAAAAAAAAGATTTATTTATTTATACATATAGAACTGGGATATAGGCCAGAGGTACAGAGGTGAGAGGATTCACCAGAGACAAGAGTGGGGGCCAAACAGACAGAGGTACTGAAATACATCTGAGGGGAGCAGTGAGCGGGTCAGGAGAGGTCTGCCGCGTCATGTGGGTCACCCCTCTGGCTGGGGATCAAACTCGTGCTGCAGTGGCTGCAATAACTTTATAGTGCTGCACTTTAACCTGTCACACCACCATGGAGGGCCCTAATTTTTATTTTTTTACATCATTCTTCATTTTGTGCATTTCTTTCATCTAGTTGTATTCCCCATCCCTACCACCAACTCACCACAGTTCAGTACACTCTTCCCACCCCAGGTCTGATCCCATTCCTGCTGGAACTTCTAATTGCAGGGGGCTTACCACCACTGAGGAGTCAATGCAAAGGAAGAAAAGCCAGAATGAGGGTGTCAGAGAGATTTCCTGAAGTTTTGAGTTCACAGGAAGGAAAAGAGGAACAAGCACAAACCAGTGATTAATATATATTTTAGGGGTATAAAAAAGGGAAAACCATTAGAAGACAGAGAAGCATAAATATTTTGTATTATATAGAAAAAGTATAATACATGCAACCTTGTTATTTTAATGGTTGACTTTAAAATATTAAAAAACATACTGCTTGTCAAAAACTTAATATAAGCAAGTTATATCTTATTCCATTTTTATTCATGTTTCACATTTTTCTCTTGAACCTTAGGAGATTAGCACCTACATTTGACATTCGTCTGATAGAAGAAAATAAATATACTGTGGACGCCAGGTAAGAGGGAACTGTAAAATAGTTTGTAAAATGTTTGTTTACTTGACCAGAGTCTTTGTTAACGGATTCTTGTTCATCAATTTGCTTTAACACTGTTAGGCCCAGAAAGGATCATCCTCTTGTAGAGAAATAAAGTTTACATAAATGCAAATCAGAGGTGTCAAGGGTAGATTTGTGTAATGCTTATGTGGTTTTCCCTGACATCTGTGGAAGTTTTTAATAAGAAAGCAAATATACTGTGAATCAGTGATTTTTTTTTTCATAAATATGCTCCTGCAGGTATCAGAATAAACTTGAATCTGTTTTCCAGCTCCCTACCAGGTTTCCCTCTGAAACAGGATTCTTTCTGTGGTAGATCATGTTTGGGTTTACATAAAAAATCTAAAATAAGTGAGGTCTTTTTACAATAGAAGACAATCTAAGTTTTTTTTAAAAAAAATCAACAAATACAAGTTAACAAGCACCTAATATATAACTGGCACTGTTCTGGGCATTGGATTTACAGTGGGGACAAGTAGAGACAGCTCCTACCCTTGCAGAGTTGAGTGGGCTGGAATTCAATAAACAATGACATGAAAATATCTGTAATTACAAACTGTGGACAGAGGTCTGAGGGAAAAGCGATGATTTCATGAGAAACGAAGATGTAGCCTTGGATGCAGGAAGGGCCTCTTGGGTCACATTTGTGGCGTTGCCACAGGATGAGTTAGCACTGGGTGGTGGGGAAGCCCTGCATTAGGCAGAAGGGGGAGCATGTAGGAGGCGAAGGAGGGAGAGGTGATGTGAGTGTTCAAGGAGCTCACGGCTTGGCTTGCAGAGAGCAGGAAGAGCACAGAGCCAGGAGAGGAGCTAGAATAGATCATGGCACCCTATGAAAGTCAGCTCTGGGCTTCCTGTGTTTGGCTGAATGCAAAGGTAGGCTCTCAGAACATTGAGGCTCTAGAGACTCATGATTCCACTAAGTTTTGACCATGCTGGTTGCTGACTGGCTCATGCATTGGAGTGGGGGAGGAGAGGGGCAGGAAAAGAAGTGAGTGTTCAGTTAGCAAGGTTCTGCAGGAACCTGCTGCAAGTTTCAACTGCTATGAAGATGTTGGAGGTGGGAAAAAGTGGGCAGATTCTGCCACTACATTTGAGAAGTAGAACTGGCAGGACTGAGGGATGGACTGTGGCACATGAAGGAGAGCAGAAAGCCAAGCTATAAATGAGTCAGGCTCTGTGCATGCACTTCTCTCTAATAAGAGCATGGAGCCCAAGACGGCACTTCTTTAAAAAAAAAAAAAAAGATTTATTTATTTATGCTTACAGAACTGGGGTACAGGTCAGAGGTGCAGGGGTGCTGAGAGGCTTCACCACAGAGTGGGGAATAGAACAGGCATTAACAAAGTACACTGCTGAGGGGAGCAGCAGGCGGGTCAGGAGAGGTCTGAGGTGCCATGTGGGTCAATTCCCTGGTGGGGGATCAAACTCGTGCTGCAGTGGCTTCAGAGAGTTTTGTAATGCAGTGCTTGATGGCAACTTTTTAAAATGCTGTACTTGGAGTAATATTCTTTACCATGGCTTTGCACAGCTTGGAGTTGTCTGTTACCCCTCCCCCAACATCCTTCTCCACTTCCCACCTCCACACCATGATCCATTATGTTGGGAGAAAGGGGCAAAACTATCCTTTGTGATTTAATAGTTTCCCTTAAATGGACCCTTCTTGTTCAGAAGGGGACAGTTATATTTGATGTCTAGTCCATTTCACAAAATGTGGTAAGAGAAATTGGGAGGGTGGGTGGGAAGCGTGAGCATTGACCCTCACAATAACATTGTCATTTATCTTTTACTAAGGTTTACCAAAGATTTTACAGATATAGAATACATTGACTCCGGTGGATATAGCCAAGTTTTCAAAGCAAGACATAAAATTGATGACAAGATTTATGTTATAAAACGTGTTAGATATAATCGTCGGTAAGTAGTTTTTTTTTTTAATAAGGAGTTGTGTTGAACTTCCACTATTCTTTTTTATGTATCTCTCTTCTTCATTATATCATTATATTCACTATATTGTTAACATTTTTCTATTCCTTCTTAAAAATCTCATTCTACCACCAGGAGCTTCACTTACTCTGAAATGATCCCTCTTCACTGTGGTTATTTCAATAAGAAATGGGTACATCACTGATCATACTTGGGAGGCTTTCTTGGGTTGTGTTGTTGTTTTTAGTCTTATTTCATTTTAAAGATGAAGAGACAGATCCAAAGATGAACTGATTTGTCTAATGTTCAAGCTCATTACTGATTGTTCTTGTCAACTATTATATAATAAATCACTCCAACAGAGAGTGACTAAAGCAAATTATTATCTCTCACAGTCTGGGAGTTGACTGTACTCGTCATGGCAATTCTCACTTGGGGTCTCTCTTGCATTTGCAGTTGACAGTCACCTGAAAGTTGGACTGGGCTGGACATCTAGCTGGGTCTCTCTGGTTGTGGGTGGGAAGCCAAGATAGGGTGTTAGCCAGACAGCCTCCACATGGCCCTTTTACATGGTCTGGGCTTCTGGCGATTTAGTAGCTGGGGCAAGAAACATTATCCTCAGAGCAAATCGTCCAAGAGACTAGGAGGGAGCAGCAAAGGCTACCTTTGACCTGGGCTTGGAAGTTCCACATTGTATTGGTTCAGCATGTCATGAAGGCTGCTCAGTTTTTTTTTTTTTTTAAAGATTTATTTATTTATTCATACAGAACTGGGGTACAGGCCAGAGATGCGGAGGGTGAGAGGATTCACCAGAGACAGAGTGGGGAGCAGAACAGGCAGATCGATGAAGTACACTGCTGAGGGGAGCAGCGGGCGGGCCAGGAGAGGTCTGCCACGCCATGTGGTCACCTCCGGGGCAGGCGGGAATCGAACTCATGCGGAAGCGGCTTTAGATTCTCAGTGCTGTGCTTTAACCCGCTGCGCCACCAGGGAGGGCCGAAGGCTGCTCAGTTTTAAGGTAAACTCAGCTTCATCTGAGGAGTGGGTGTGTGTCTAGGAAGGGAAAGGATTCCTGATTGTCATTGCTGGATACTCTCTGGGTATTGGGATGATCTAGAGCTCATCCGGGCCAGTCGACAGTGTTCACGCTGTAGTCCCTGCTTCCCCTGTTTGTTTGCGTGTGACCTGCCTTCATTCCCCACCTTACAGGTAACTGAATTTCTGGAGGGGAGACACTTAAAGACTTAAGTCATATGTTCAAGTCTTGTTATGTTATCTCTACAGTTTCCCTTGTGGTTTCACAACCTATAGAGCCAACATGTTATATAAGAAAACAAGATGAAAAGAATAGACAGTAAATACAAATTCCTAAAAAGGCATATGAAGAAAAGCCATAGGAAATAATTCAAAATCATTCATTGGGATTGTTGATGTTGGAATAATTTTTTTCTTTATTTTTACAAATTTTGTGTCTTACAGTTGTAGAACTTTTTAAGTTACAAAATGAAAATTGAAAATTGTTTCTTTTTTCTGTCTTACCTTGATCTCAAGTTTCTTTAGTCCATTTAGCATGGAATTGTCTGTACTCTGCCTGCCCATCCCTGTCAGTCCCCTCAGCATGCCGCGAGGCCTCAGTTTATATGCCTAGTTCACCCACTTTGTGTGTTTCTGCCACACATTCGAAGTTCTGAATTGGGTTCTTCGTGCCTGGGCTGCCTACCTTTGCTACCTAAATGGCGTTTGCATACAAAAACCAAAATACTGTTAATACACATGTGGAGGCGAAACAGTGTGTGAACTAGCTACCAAAAATTGTATCCCTGGCATTTCAAAGTCTACTTCAAGTGACTTTTAAATTGTCTGGATTTTGGAGTCCTGTGTGCCCCAGATTTTTATGTTGAAAATAAGAAAAATCTATGTCTTTCCTGTATGCTTTTTCCTGTTGATTGTTCCTGATATCCATTCTAAAATGCAGGGTATGGTAACTCCAGTGACCAGTAAAGAGGGGACCATCGTTACCCCTATTACTGTGTTTGTGTTGTTATCTGGGATGTACACTGACACTTTCTTGTTCCCTATTTCTTTTAACTAGGGAAGTGGAGCGTGAGGTGAAAGCTTTGGCCATGTTTGAACATCCAAATATTGTTCATTACTATGGTTGCTGGGATGGATTGGATTATGATCCTAAGAATAGCATAAATGATTCAAGGTAACTAGACAAGTTTTCATAGTTATAATAGGATAGAGGAAAGTGTAATTGGTGAGCAGATAAGACCATTCATCATTGCATTTAATAATCATAAACACTAACTCCGAGTCCCTTACATCTCCCTTCTTCAGGGAAGGAGACAATGAATAATCTTTTTTTGTTCCTCTCCTTGCTCTAAACCTGCTTTTTAAAACTGTTGTTGACTGGCCTCAGCTGTTTTCTGAATCTCACACTAACTTTCCTGACTCCACTATCTGAGGGATCGTGTGCCCAGCTTCAGTCCAGGATGTAAATTCAGTGAAGAAAGCTTGAACATGTAGCTGCTGCACCTACAGCTCCCTCCTGAGCTGCCCTCCATTTCTGTCCCTCCACAGACCCGTTTCTGGCAGAGTGCAGTCAAGAGGCTCCTTTCAAAATAGCCACACCATTTATGAGGTTGGGTTGGGCCATAAAAATAACTTCAAGACCTTGAGCTGTGTTGGAGACACCTGGCCAGGCATCACTCATGTTTTGTTTTAGATAAGTCACTGCCAAAAGACGAGAGGGTGCTAAGAGCTGGGTTGTGCCTTCAAAGTCACCCAGCATTTCTTGGGACAGTTTTCACTAAAATCTCGGGGCCATGGAGGGCTTTGTTCATTCACTGTCTCTTAACTCCAGCCCTATCACCACCCCATGTAATTGACAACTTTTTCATTTTTTTCAGTTCAGAATCATTGACCACCAGTGTATGGGGTTTCTGTAGCTTTCAGCAAACTCTTGGCTTCCTCCGCTTGTTTTCTAGCCAACATGTGTTCAAAGAATATAAATTAGCATTGAGGCCAATTTAGTGTAGAAAAGAAAAAAACATGGCAGCAAAAATTAGCCCTCCAAATTATGTCTCACAGCAGCTCCTTGACACTTTTATTAGATAAGTACCTATGCTGATGTCATTATGTAACTTTTGCTTTTCCTTTATCTCTCGCCTATTAAACTATAATTCCCATGAAGTAAATATAATATCCATCATCTGCATGTCTAACTCATTCTCATGCCTATCCTTTGTCTTTCACAAAATAGTGGCTCAGTAGATTGCTGATAAAATACTTTAAAATTCATTTATATAGTAATGAAATTTGGTTTTCTGCAATTCAGTGTATCAATGCTTCTGTTCCTATCTGTAAGCAATGATGCTAATTCTTCAGCATTAATTTATGGGTGGGCTTATTGTTTATAAATTAGCCAAGCAAATAAAGCTATAGCTATCTGGGGATTTATATTTAAATAGAAGTAGTTTATTACTTTGACTGCAGCTTAGTGTTATATTTAGATTCCTTTTTTCCCCCACCTTGGAAATAGTAAATGATAAAAAGTAGAATATGGGGCCCTCCTTGG